AATATTTCTATTGCATCATCATGGTTATCCCTTGTTCATATTTTCTCATCGAACTAGTACTTTATCATGAAAAGTTTACGAGTGTACTACTTGATAATAAGTTGAGGTGGTGGATTCGCTGAAAAGAGCCCCCTTCGCTGAACTACGTGTTCGTAATCAACAACTCTGTCACGGACGCTTAACTAATTGAAAGAAAATATATTCGACTGATAAGTCTTGTCATAATGCGATTGCTTGTAATAATATATTGTGCGTTAGAATCAAGGACGTAAAGTATAAACCTTATAGCTCGTCAATTCAACTAATTTCTAACCCACTGCAAACAAATATCTTGAACAATACATTTCAAATTAATAGTGATGATGGTTGGAGGTAGTCGACAGATAACCGTGGTATTTGCAACTCATCAGGGAGGTGTACCTGTAATCTTGAGGGACCTGTTGCTCCCTGACGGGTTCAACCTCGTGTCACCCAGCTTCACGGTCGGAAACGTTTGCACTGACTTATACGGGCTGTGACTGACCTGTTATAGGACTGAAATGTATTTACAGTCGGTTGGCCACTGGCTAGTAGTATTCAGTGCAATTAATATCAGGCCCGTGGTGTCATGACTTTGAGAGAATTGGCTTTACTCCATTATTTAGCCACACTGACAACTGTTATTAAGTGCATTCTAATTCCATGTTAATTTAGAAGGCATCACGAAACGCTGCAACATATTATTATTGAATAGCGAAGATCATGATTTCTTAAACACACTGGGCTAAGTTGAGGATAAAAGCTGAGGCGCTAACCAGAACAAACAACATAAACCACTTAAAATCTGCCCTCCGAGTTGAAGGAAGGATTATGACGCCTTATGACGACAGCCGAGAAGCTTCGGAAGATACTAAGACGGTGTCGCTTCAAACAACTAGAGCAACAAATTTTACGGGTAAATGGAAGATCCAGATAATGTGGAAGACTGTGAGGATCAGTTAAATAGCGACGAAACTGACGAGATACAACATTGCGGTTTTCGACACAACATTCCCATACAAACGCAAGTACAATGCTGAATGGGTCTCACCGTATCACACTACACAGAACCAGATAGATCATATTTGCATCACTAAAACATTCAGAAAGTCAATGGACAAGGCAGGAATAAAGAGCGGATCTGGTATAGCTTCAGATCACCACCGGGTGGTCGCCAAAAGGAAACCGAAGCTAAAAAAGCGTTGGACAACGTACAAACAGCATTACAAAGGTTCAACACAGCCTTGCTTTCACATAAAAATAAAACAATTCAAGATGACTCAACATCACGTCTCAGGACTCACAACATCTACTCAAGAATAAGAAACTATGATGGAAGCAATTGTAAAGGGATCAAAGAAGCACTAACTTCAACGTGTCAGGAGGTTGTGAGCTGCAAGAGACATCATTATAAGGAATGATTCTCTATGGAAACCCTACGCAGGATTCAAGGTAAAACAATACAGCCATTAACAACAGTCGAACAAGAACAGAGAATGTCAAGGCACAAGCTGAACACACAGAAACAAATAAGCAAGTGAAGAATGGCATTAGAACTGACAAGCAGAAATACATGGGAGAGATGGCAGCGATAGCAGGAAAACCTTCAAGAGAAGGAAATATCAAGCAACTATATGACATAACGAAGAAACTAGCCGGGAAATATAGTGAACCAGTGAGACCAGTCAAGGACAAATCAATCACTGAAATTCAGGGACAGAGGAACAGATGGGAAGAATACTTCGAGGAACTCTTGAATAGACCAGTTCCATCGAATCCACCGGATATCGAAGTAGCACACATGGATCTCCCTACAGATGTCACTCCACCAACGATCGAAGAAATTGGCATGGTCATCAGAAAAATCAAGAGTGAGAAACCAGTAGGACCTTACAATATACCAGACCAAGGTCTGAAGTCAGACACAGAAGCAACTGCAAGTATACCTCTTGTTCTATTCAAAAAGATTTAAAAAGAAGAACAGGTGCCACTGACAGACCTGGGAGAAGGGTATTTTGTGGTGGCTGGTCTTATGTCGAGCCCACCAAGCTTATTCTAGCTTCTGGGTGAACTGACCTGTCCCTTCTCCTCAAGCTACATTTTGAAATTATTAATTGTTCGCTTGTCAACCTTGACTTTTTTATGCAAGCGAATGTGTGTGCATAAATGATCATACTCATCAAATGCCTGTAATCTATTTTTGTTTGGATATATATCGATTAACGTTTGATTAAATCAAGTTGGCCGAATTGTCCTCTCCAATCTAATTCTCTCTTCCTGCTTGTTTCGTCTCCTTAGCTGCCTGTTCAAATGCATGAAATATCTATATTCAAAATCCATCCTGGGATTTTGGTCTACCTAGTTGTGTTATTCACCAAAAAGTGTCGACAAACTGGAAAGACGGACACCTCATCAAGGTACTAAACAAAGGAGATGTGAGTGAATGTGAGAACTACGGGTAAATCACACTACTATAGGTATCACGAAAAGTTTTCAACAGCGTTTCTGAACCTGATAAAAGATCCAGTAGATGTTCAACTTCGAAATCAACAGGTCAGATTCTGTAAGGATCGATTGTGCACAGACTAAATTTCGACGCTACGGAACATCGTTAAACAATCAGTTGGGTGGAACTAGTCACTATAAATCAACTTCATTGACTATGAGAAAGTATTCGATAATGTGGATAGGTAGACTTCATGGAAACTTCATCGACATTATGGAGTGCGTAGTTGAGGAGATCGTCAAGATCATCCAGAATTCATACTACGGACTACAATGGAAAATGGTGCATGGAGGACATTTGACAAATACATTTCAAGTAAGGACCGGAGTCACACAAGGCTGTCTACTCCCGCTTCCTTTTTCTCTTGGTGGTTGCTTAGATTATAAAGACTTACATATCTGAGGGTAAGCACGGAATACAATAGACAGCTTGCATGCAGCAGGATAATTCTGACTTTGTAGATGACCTAGCTCTTCTTGCCCATACACACGAACAAATGCAGATGAAGACCACTAGTGTACCAGGAGCCTCTACATCAGTATGCCTCAACATACACAAGGGCAAAACCAACATATTCGAATACAACGCGGAGAACCTTAAACTAATCACACTTGATGGAAGGGGTGGAAACTTACGTTGCTAGTACCATCGATGAACAAAGAGGATTTAAAGCAGGAAGACCAAAGAACACGCCGCGTCGAAAATGGGAAGCGGACATAAAGAGGATGAATAGGAACTGTAAACAGCCCAAGAAATAGTTGAATGGAGAGTGCTGCATGGGCGACCTATGATCCTCTATGAGGCGTAACAGGCGTAAGCAATAACGAAATAGATCATAATTCCAAGGAACATACACAGCATCCACGCATCCCGTTCAATCGCTTTAGCAGCTATGGAGTTGTGGTTAATCCTTCAAAGTGGGTACTCGAGGTTCCAGCTTTTAACTTCCTGGTCATCACATAGATTCACACGGTATAGAGTCTCCCCAAGGAAATGTCGATATTTTTTTAACTAAACACTAGATTCGCCACCTAAGCCCTTTTAATGATACGCAGGCTGCACACAGTGACTTAGACGTGAGAGAAAATGTACGTGATATAGAAAGAACGCTTTCTCCAAGGTTAGTTTATGTACAGAAAATCGAGCGTATTTATAGCATATCAGATGAAATTGGGCTTCTGGAAGGTTCATAAACCGTACTAAACATGATTGCATGATCGGTAATCATCTAACCAGACATGTGACATATGACTCTTCACTTTCTGGACGTTTCTAGCAAAAACTCTATTGAATAGTGGTTGGATAAGATGTTTCTCAGCGTTCTAGAACCTTTTCGGTTTTTTCGACGAATTTTCTGGATCTTCACAACATTTATTAACTATACAGAACCAAATCCAACAAGACCGTTGAAAAGATCCCTGAAGATCTGTAATTGCTATCGCCGATTTTTGTCTAATTACGCAACAGCAATATAGTCTCTGGCTGATCTGAGCTTAACCGAAGAAAAATACAGATGAAGAACGACTTTAGCTTACAACCCAATGAAGAAGAGGCTTTAAGTAACACCAAGTCCACTACGGAAACTGCTACTATATTGGTTTGTCTAAAAGGAGACCCTATAACCAATCAATTTTTTATGCACTGTTGTTTCACAGAACTCCATAATGTCTGTGTCACAACAACGAGCCAGCTACATCACTACACCTCTAGCGTTTTCTCTAAACACATGTCACTATCCCAAACACACTATAGCACCTTCTGGGGCAAATTACCACAGATTTATCGGGCGGTAAAAATTTTTATTTTCTTATTACAGGTACGTTAGTGATAACGACTGGAAAAAACCCGTATGTTATTTCTTTAGTAAATCATATGATCATCAGTCACTACATGGAGCGCGACTATTACATCAAATATCACTATTTTCAAAGGACATGAACACTGGTACAAAAACAAGATATCAATCTGGAAACCATGGACAAGTCACAAGTAGACGACACATATTCAAAAACATGGAAATAGAACTCTAACTTGATTCTCAAACAAGTATAGACTCCCTTATTGGATTTTTCCATCATGTGTGACGTTTTAACGGGTAACGGCTGTCTTTTTGTTCCTAAAGCTTGTCGGTGAAGAGTATGTCAACAGCTCTATGAATTATAACAACCAGGGATCAGAGCTACAGCTAAACTCATCACGGCACATTTTGTCTGGCCAAAAATTGATGCTGGTGCAAACTTTTGGGCAAAAACTGCACACAGTGCTATCGCAGCAAGTTCAAACAGCAGTCAATGCCATTGTGAAATTTCCATTACCCAACAGACAGTTCCAACAAGTTCGTCCAGATATCGTCAGTCGACTCTCTTTCTCAGACGGAGAATAATTTCAAAAAAATCCAAAAAGACGCAAACCAGAAAACCCACTGTTTTCGTCGTTGCTGACTGAAATTTGTTTACGCTGTTCAATATATATCACTACTGAGTTCCGGCGCTCAATTCCGATCAAGGCCACTTGGTATGTTTTGGCTGCCGTCGAGGTATTAGTTGTGTAGATGTTCCTAGCATCCTAATTGTATAAGTTTTGGGTAGTATTTTTGAATGTGTTACTGAGGTATCTGAGTTATTGGCATTTTTTATTCAGTTTGTACATATTTTCGACTTAGCTCTACTAATACGATATTACCCGATTTCTACCATATCTCGATTTTGAGGTTTTCCATCGAACCATTTAAAAATTAGTCGTTTCTCCTTGCATTCGAAGAAATGTTTGTGGTAGACATTGGACTTATGAGAATTCCGATGGCTTCTCAGTCTGGAAATTGTATGGAAAAACCTCAAAACTAGATTAGCTCGGCTAAACACGAATGTCCTGCGTCAAAAAGTATTTAAGTTATTTAAGGGATAATGACAATCGACACTTTCTTCACATATCAGAATATTGTACTTTGAGGATTGATAAACTACTGTGGCTGATAAAAGTTTTCACGTTCCTAGTTGAATGCTTTTTAAATTAAATACCCGTATTCAGTTGCAAGATTGTCTTCATCCACAGCATTATCCATTAATTTTCAGCTTCGTATGTTTATCTGACCTGGTTTTTACGACCACGGTATTTTGTGTGATGAAGTAGTTTATTACTATGTCGTCACGACGTGATTCCTGTTTAAGACTTAGTAAACCTCACCATTCTTGGAAAAACTTATACAAAGTTGAAGGTGACCCTATTGGACGGTATGTTTACTTTTGGATTAACAGTTTGTATAGTGGTTATGCCGGGAAAGTTTACAAAATTACTACTGGTAACATGGAGCTACTGGATCCCTTGATAGTGACGAAGTCCCAGCTCACAGCAACAATGTATTCAGAAAGTGCTTATACTGAGCCCGGAGAATATTTAGCTTGCAAAGTCATCCGTAGATTTCGTGGAGGAAAGGATACTATTGCAAAAATTACCTCTGAAGTTCAAGCTATGGTCAGTTTGCAAAGAGATCATCTTAATACTTATCATAACTCTGTGTATAATAAGCCATCTGAAAAACCTTCCAGAATTTGTAACCATCAAGTTCCTCCTAAATCAGCCTCACCTAAGCTGTTTGCAGTTTATAAAGACTCAATGGAAGTTGCTATTATCATGGAGTAGTAAGTTTTTGGCGTAATTAAATGTATCGATTGATAGACCAGTTATTGTGCTGAAAGTTTGAATATAATTCATATCAAAGCTTTTTACAATCTGATTAAATATTTATCAACATTTTCAATATTATTGCATTTGGTTTTATAAATTGCCACTTAAGATTCTAGTACAGATGTGTTTCGTATGAACTTGCCAACTTCCTACCTGCATGAACATGTATTGAATCATTTTTCCGAATTAGCTTTCTAAAAAACAAATCTAATTTGGATGGTATTATAGTTCATAGACATTGAAAGTATCACCACGTAAATTTATGCAACATTGAAATCTCATTATGAGTGTCTTAATTTTAATGTATGTATTGGTGTTCTGTAAATTTTTATGTTCACTACCTATCAAGTTACTTATGCTGAAACCAGGTTAAAAAATAGTAGGATTCTCCTGACATATTGCAAGTTTTGAGGCCTTTAAATAAAAATATTTATGACTTCTTGCTCTCGAAACGAAAATACTAAATCAACATAACTGTGAAATAAAGCTCTACTCAGACGTTTCATTTTCCTTTTCAGTTTTAGTCACTCTTAATGTTGTTGTTTTTTTCTGTCGAAAACTCTTGTGATACCGTATTTCGCCTTTCATGAGGAACTTTATCAATATTTCTCCGGAACAGACGTTGTCAAAGTAGTTACGAGTGATTTACCACCTAGAATACTATGGAATCGAAGATAGCATGTTTCAAAATTATTCAAAAGATATTATTGCCTTGGTATCCCACGTTAATTAGTTCGGAGTTGATTTTGTAGATATAGTATAGAGCTCATAAGTAAGAAATAAAACAATTCATATGATTGAAAAAGACCCTACAGATACAATTTCGAAGTGAAATTGCTTAATTATGTCTGTTACCCCTCATGGAGGAGCATAGTTCGTCCACTACCAGCATTCTCCATTCAACCTTGTCCTGGGAGATCCTTTTCATGTCCGCTTCCGATCCCCGACTCATTATGTTCTTTTGTCTCTCACTTTTCTCGTTTCCACTCATTATTTGAAGTCGGGGCTTGCCCCGTGATGCAGTTTAATGATTTCCGTAATGTATGTCCTATCCATCTCCATCGTCTCTTCCTAATTTCCTCTTCAGCTGGAAGCTGGTTTTTTCCCTCCCACAGTAGGATGTTGCTAATGGTATCCGGCCAACGGACACTGAGTATCTTGCGTAGACAACTGATTATAAATACTTGTACCTTTTTGACGATGGTTGTAGAAGTTCTCCAAGTTTCATCTCCGTACAGTGAAACTATCTTGACGTTCGTATTGAGGATTGTGACTTTCTGAATGTTTTAGTGATGCAACTATGAACTATCTGGTTCTGTATAGTGTGATCTGGTGAGACCCATGTAGCTTTTTAATTGCGTTTGTGTGGGAATGTTGTACCGCCTATAGCCATTTTGTTAAATGCAGATAAATTTGCAAGTCCGTAATCATTCTCATTTCTTTCTCTCAGTACATGTCGTCCCATGATATTTTCATACCCAGTGTTGTACTATTCTGACTTTGGAGTCTAGGTCTCTTAATAGAATGGTCAAGTTCCTTCCCGAGCACTTCTCTACGCTTAGCTGCAGTTTCTCATAAAACTGATCATTATTATCTTTGTTGCTATCATTGGAGGGTGCATAGCACTGGATAATATTTATTATGATCCTCTCCTTCTTTGTTTTGAAAGACGCTTTGATGATCCTGGATCCATGAGTTTTGAATAGGGAGTGAAGTAGTCGAACGCGTCAACAACTTTACTTATCTTGGAACTCTGATCAGCACTAATGGGTTAGTGTGTGGCAAAATCTCGGCACGGATTCAGAAAGCCCATTTGGCTTTTGCGAACATACGTCACCACCTATGGCAAACGCGAGATATCCGTCTATCAATTAAAGGACGAGTATACTGCGCCGTAGTTTGTTCTGTTCTAATTTACGGCTGCGAAACGTGGCCATTAAGAGTAGAAGATACCCGTAAGATACTAGTATTTGATGACAGATGCCTTAGAAATATTGCTTTTGTCTGCTGGTATGACCGGGTAAGTAATAGTGAGGTTAGACGCAGGGTATTATTGAATGATGGTAAATCAGTTGATGAGGTTGTGAATCTTCATCGAGTGAGATGGTTGGGCTACGTGTTACGTATGCCTGAACACCGATTACCACGACGTGCAATGCTAACCGGTGTTGGATATGGTTGTAAGAAAGTAAGTAGCGGCCAAACCAAAACGTGGCATCAGTGCATGAAGTCACTAACTTCTGGTGTGAGTCATGTTGGTAGATGCAGACTACTTGGTTGGTGTTCGCGTGACCATCGTAACCAATGATTGTAGACTGTTTGTGACATGGCTTAGAATCGATCACAATGGCGTCGGTGTATACACTCTCTGTCCCATGGTAGCCGGTGACCACCAATAGGTTCATACAACTTTTGTTCCCTCAGGATCCTGGAGATCATGTGCACCATTGATTTGGAATCAGGGTTTCCCAACTCCTCTGGGTGGATCCTCCATATTCAACAACCCGGTTAAAGCACCGAACATTCGCTTCTAAACATCTCAAATTCGTAAGCATTACCCCCTCTCTGCGAGAAGGCAGTGAGTAGGACTTCCCTGACAGTGGCTGCATACGCGTGGCCATATGAGAGCGTCTGGAGATGGATAGTGGACTCACCCCACCCTCGGCCTTACCAGGGCATTTGAGATTCTCATCCGAAAAGTGTTTGTCGTGTTTCTTAAACAATATCAGTGTAGCTCCATGCACGAGATAAGCGTTTTCTTCGTGATCAGAGTACAACAGCATCTTCCGAATCTAATATTTTCTGTTCAGCTAGGGTCCAATGTGTTTCGCTTACTCTGAGCACCACCATGTTGTATATCCTCATTTCCGTAGCTATTTGATAGGTCCTCCTGGTATCCCACATTATCTGGACTTCCCATGTATCTATATTAATTGTTGCTGTAGTTGTCAAAAAGAAAATCGGCTTTGTGATTTCCAAGAAATCGCGATTTTCTCCATAAAAGGCGTCATAATTCTTCTGAACCAAGATCGTTTAACTCGGGGGATGGAGTTTAAATTGTTTATTCCGGTTAGCGTTTTTTCTGGCAAGGGTTGTTCTATGAGGTTGGGTTGCTGACCCCATGCCCAACCCTCCTTCTTTATCCGAGCCTGTTTATTTTTATTATTTATTTATTTGAACACATAAATATTGGTACAAGAGGGCACCAAATATATATGCGCCACACAAAACAATGGGAATTCGAAGAGAAAAAAATAAGGTGAGGAGCGTAAAAAAAGAACAATAACAAAACAGATCAGTGTAAGGTAGTGTAATAATAATAATAATGGGGGAAACGGAAAGGTACAATCAGAAGAAATCTTTTGGTTAAGGAGGAAACAACCATTTTTTTAATGAAGAAAGTAAAAGAAGGTTACAGCAGGATCGCTACTGTCTCCTATTCTGAGCCATATCTGATAACGTCTTTAGCCATTGTGTTGCACCATCTCTCGGACCACCTCTCCGCTTTTTCCAACCAGTCCCAGCGTTGGCAAATAATGCACGACGTGGAATTCTCTGGGACGACATTCGTAGAACATGTCGAAGCCACCGAAGTCGGTGTTTCAAGATGGTGACACCGATTGCATTATCGTCTCTGTGTCCGAACACACGATGCCGAACCTCTGCATTACTAACATGGTGTTGCCACTGGATGTCAGCAATCCTTTGGAGACAACAATGATCAAACACAGAGTCGTCTAACATCCTCAACTCGGAGAGGCCAGGTTTCACAAGCATAGAGCAAAACTGCTCTCACCGACGCGTTGTAGATCCAACGTTTTACGGTCAGACTAACATCACGAAGGCGCCATAGATGGCCCAGATTGGCATAAGCTGCTCTGGCTTTCACTATACATGCGTTGATTTCATCACTCACGCCACCACCAGCACTTAAGCTGGTGGGATTCTTCAAACCTTCCGAATTTGTTTACGTTAAAACATATAGCGTTAAATTTTTAAAACGTTTTAATATCTGTAGATTCCTGATAATAATAATTGAACGATACAGCGTGTCATAACTTTGTAAATTTCAGTATTAGTCATTGAGATAGGATCCTTGAGGCAGCAAATTATTTTCGCCATAGTTACCAAATATATAATGTGAAGATGTAAAATGTTTTCTCTCGGAGGAAGATAATTATTTATCTACTGTATTTCATGAGATGGCATACAAAACTGTCTCATTTTTGTTCTAGGTTCTACATTGACCATAATTTAAACCAAACTTGGCCAAGACAGAAATTGCATCCAATCAATTTAATTAAGTTTTCCCGTTTATTTTAACCGCTCGCAACGAACAGACTATTGACAATAATTCAGTTTGTAAATTGTATGGACATACAAATTACATGTCATATAATGAAAATCTGATTTGTCCATTGTAATTCAAATTGCTTATGAATTCGGTATAAAGTTTGAGCGATTAAAATTTATTTTGCAGTTCTATATTTGTAGCTGATTAAATGTATAAATATAGATTTATGACTGCCACCTATCAGTATAGGTTAGTTCAGCTAATCAGTTGACCACTATCTAAGTTTTATTATTACTACTATTATTGTCATTATTGTTATTATCATCATTATTATTATTATTTTCCACATTATTCACCTTCTTTTATACTTATACAGCGGCTCGTCTTTGGTGGAATTCCGACTGTATCTAAACGTTCTCGAGTCACTGTCCGGTTGAAAATTGTATGTTACCACCGAATACGAGGACTGAAGCAGATTTTCTGAAACCACGTGCATCATTCAAACTGGCTGCCTTCAACGTTCGCACATTTATGCAGGTCGGACAACAGATAGGGCTGGCTATGTCTTTGGAAAGTCTTAATATCGACGTGTGTTGTCTATCCGAGACCCGTATTCAAGACTCTGGCGAAGTGCTACAAATTCGATCTCCATCTGTCGCTTCGAAAAGCTTGTTTTACGTGCGCTTATCCGGGGACCCTGTGGCATCTTCGTCTGGTCTTGCTGGCGTTGGTGTCGCACTAAGCGCTAGAGCTGAGGCAGCACTAGTCGATTGGATCCCCATTAACAGTCGGTTATGTGCTGTTAGATTAGAAAGTTCCATCAAAGTGAGAAGAAATCGGCGTGAGAAACGATGTCTTTTCGTCATCTCCGCCTATGCCCCGACAGATTGCAGCCCGGATGCAATCAAGGATGAGTTTTACCACCAGTTATCAGTTCTTCTCCAGAAAGTGCGTTCGACAGATATTGTAGTACTAGCCGGAGACTTGAATGCTCAGGTCGGGCGTCTAGGCACAGAAGAGAGTCGTTTAGGTGGCCGATGGGGACTCGTTGGTCGCAGGTCAGATAACGGGGACCGTCTACTGCAACTTTGCACAGACCACAACCTGTTTCTGGCTAGGACTAACTTTCGGCACAGTCATCGCCGATGTGCCACCTGGCGTCCTCCCTCTGCATCTCAAGCCTGGACTCAGATTGATCACATCGCGATCAGCTACCGCTGGCGTGGTTGTGTACAAGACTGCCGCTCCTTTTGGAGTACCTATCTGGACTCTGACCATGCCTTGGTCTGCGCCAATCTTGCCTTACTTTTCAGTGGACAACGAAGTGAACGCCATCAACGGATTGATGTTAGCAAGCTGGTTGCAACTTCTGTTGCAAGTAAGTATCGAACTGAGCTAGCCTCTAGGCTAGCTACCACTCCACCGAAAAGTATAGATGAGCATTGGTTGCAATTGCATGACGCCATGAAAATGGCGGGAACAGTCAGTTGTGGGTTTGCGAAACGTCCCGCTTTTAAGCACTGGGTTTCTGCAGGTTCCTTACAACTCATTGAAGCCCGTCGGTCTACTCCGGGTGACCGTGAGTTTGACCATAAACGAAGGATGCTATGTAAGGAAATCGGGCAAAGCTTGCGTATGGACCGAGAAGCCTGGTGGTCGATGCGTGCTAATGAGCTGGAAGCAGCAGCTGCATCTGGTAACTACCGGAAGCTCTTCCAACTCATCCGAGCCACTGGCAGCAAGAAGTCTGGTGTGAGTGAAACAATCTGCGAGGATGATGGGATGCCAATCACTAACATCCATCGACGTCTTGGACGATGGGCAGAATTTTTCGAAGGGCAGTTCAACTGGCCTGCTGCTCCGGCAACATCGGTCAGACTGTCCTGCCCTCCATGGCCGGTGACGACTGATCCACCAAATGAGGAGGAAGTCCGCAAGGAACTCCAACTCTTGAAGCGTTGCAAATCACCTGGCCCAGATGACTTACCTCCGGCTCTTTTTAAAGATGGTGGTGACTTTTTGACTAAGGAATTGACGACGTTGTTTACAAAGGTTTGGGAACTAGAGAGTGTACTAACGTCATGGAATGAGTCGATAGTTGTCCCTATCTTTAAAAAGGGTTCACGTGGTTCTTGTAACAACTATCGGGGGATAAGTTTACTTCCGATTGCGTCCAAGCTATTGGCTTCTGTCATTCTTCGTAGGTTGTTCAAAACCCGAGAAAGATTGACTCGCGAGGAGCAGGCTGGGTTTCGTTCTGGTCGAGGATGTATTGATCATATCTTCACCCTAAGTCAAATGTTAGAACACCGCCATACTTATAAAAGACCAACAATCGTAGTGTTTCTTGACATCAGGGCTGCCTTCGATTCGTTGGATAGGACTGTTCTCTGGGATTGTCTATTGAAGAAGGGTGTGCCTGAGAAGTTTATTAACATCCTAAAAGCCCTGTATAAAAACACCTCAGGCAGAGTGAGGGCATACAACCACCTCTCTCCATTGTTCCATTCGAGCAGTGGGGTTAGGCAGGGTTGCCCAATCTCACCATTCCTCTTCAACTTTGCCATCGATGACATTCTGGAAACAGCTCTGATGAATGTAAGTAATGGTGGTGTGGATCTGTTGCCTGGAGAAAGACTTCTCGACCTTGAGTATGCGGACGATATTGTCTTACTGTGCGATAATGCCCAAGGCATGCAATCCGCACTTAATCAGTTGGCAATCAATGTCCGTAGGTATGGTATGTGCTTTGCACCTTCGAAGTGCAAAGTACTTCTATAAGACTGGCAGTATTCTAATCCTGTACTCACCCTGGACGGTGAGCAGATAGACGTAGTTGAGAAGTTCGTGTATCTGGGTAGCTGCATAAGTGCTGGTGGGGGTGTGAGTGATGAGATCAATGCACGAATAGTGAAAGCCAGAGCGGCTTATGCCAATCTGGGCCATCTATGGCGCCTTCGTGATGTTAGTCTGGCCGTAAAAGGTCGGATCTACAACGCGTCGGTGAGAGCAGTTTTGCTCTATGCTTGTGAAACCTGGCCTCTCCGAGTTGAGGACGTTAGACAACTCTCTGTGTTCGATCATCGCTGTCTCCGAAGGATTGCTGACATTCTGTGGCAACACAATGTCAGTAATGCAGAGGTTCGGCATCGTGTGTTCGGGCACAGAGATGATAATGCAATTGGTGTCACCATCTTGAAACACCGACTTCGGTGGCTTGGACATGTTCTCCGAATGTCGTCCCAGAGAATTCCACGTCGTGCATTATTTGCCGACTCTGGGACTGGTTGGAAGAAGCGGAGAGGTGGTCAGTGCATGACATGGTGTCGTGGCATGAAAGAAAGCTGCAAAGGACTGGCTTGTGTTGGACCTTCACGACTCCCTGGCTGGGGTCCGAGAGATGGTGCTACACAGTGGCTAGAGACGTTATCAGATATGGCTCAGAATAGAAGCCAGTGGTGATCCTGCTGTAACCTTCTTTTACTTTCTTCATAAAAAGTGGTTGTGTCTCCTTTACCTGAAAGATTTCTTCTGATTGTACCTCTTCGTCATTACTCTCTTTTTCTTTTGCGTTCCTTAGTTTTTTCTTTCTTTCTACTTCTCTTCGAATTCCCATTGTTTTGTGTGGCGCATATATATTTGGTGCCCTCTTGTACCAATATTTATGTGTTCAAATAATAAATAATAAAAAATAATCTAAGTTTTAAATAACACTAATGGGAATTTTTTCTATTTTCTAATTTACATCTAAATATTACGTTTTTCCCGTGTTTGTACCAATGATTATTCATTTTCTTTTGAAGTGCTAGTGGTGGATCTTTATACGACTTGTGTAGATCTACTTACCCATATGACTTTGCTGCTAGTTCAACCAGTTCTCCTTGCGGTGATTTATCCGTTCCTAATTCTGGTGTTTCTAATTCGCACACAACAATCCCACAGTCGAAACACCCTGGTTCATTTGATGGATTGTCTGAATCATATATTCGTCAACTGTTAATCAGCATCCTTGAAGCTTTGGTCTACATGCATGATACTCTTAGGATGGTTCACCTAGATGTTAAGGTAGGTTTGGAAAAACATCGAGATACAGTTTCTGTTAATTTTAAATGCTTTTGGCTTCAATAAAACTAGGATGCACTTCACATTGTTAAGATGTGTATAATTTTGCTTTAACTAAATAGTTATCACGAGTGGAGTTGGACGATTTCGAGTTTTATCACAAATCAGTCGAAAATTAAAATGTAGAATATTGGATTCCGACTCAGTAGTCTACTAGCTAAGCATCTACTTTAAGACAGGGCGGTTCTTGATCCGTGCCCTGCAAAAAGTTATGGGTAGTTAGAAGTAATAAATTCGATACTAAAACAAACAACCCATTCTGTGCTTCTTGGTCTTCAATATACCCCAATTTGTATGAATTCGTAATAAAAGCCACCTACAAATTTAAATAATCTTTACAAAAAGTTTCGTCAAAAATACAATTGAATTCTTTGGTCCATCATTTAAAACTTATTTTCATACAAAAATTAGTCAGCATAAAAATTGTTAATTAAAGAGGATAGCCAAGGCCATAGTAATAATGTTTAGTTATTTTTATTTGAAAATCCTTTTGGTGATATATAGACCCTTTTTACTTATAATTTTGTATTACATTTTCAGTAAACTATAATTTCATATTATCGATGACGAATATATAGTAGATCTTGTTATGCTGAATGCGATCCAGTACTCACTCTGAATCCCATTGTTTACTATCACTATTATAATCATCAATTTTAATTACACTGTTATTTTCATATTATTGATGATTATTAACATAAGTTCAAAGTACAAGACTTAGGTTGAATATATATGAATTTTTTCGGTCATTTTTACTTATCATAATGATCATAATCATCATCTTTATCAGCATTACAACAAAAAATGTATTCACTCCATATTACTAAAAAGGTATAAACATTCCATTCTAGGTCATTGTGAATATGTTAATTTTGCCCATAAATATTTTTTTTTCATTTTTAAACTTTACAAAGTTTGACCTCCCATCGTTAAAAAAATATTTAGGCATTTCAGTTGTATAATTGTTTAACTATGGGATAAGTTGTCGAAAAATATATTGTGCTCATCATGTAAGTAGATTGAAATCTGTTTAAGGTTGTGGATATACTCAATCAATCATAAGCAACGTATAACCTGAGACATACTTGAATTGTTCCAAGTTGACATATCGAATCAGCGCAGTAAGATGCAGCTATAATGATAAATGTCAGAGTAGTAGTAGTAATAGTAGTAACAGTATCAGTGGTAGTAGAAAAGGTTAAACATAAATAAGTTTATATAAAATAATAGTATTGTGAACTGTAAACAGATTTTACATAATTAGTGAATCTATTAGTGTTTTCTACGAGTTATTCTGCCCGTGAACTGAAAAATCAACGATATATAAGTTTATCTCTATGAATATATACTATACGTCCTATCAAACTCTTATGAAGACCAAAATGAATTTCTAAGAGTTCTCACATTTTCCTTGGTTAGGGTAAGGATTAAGGGTCCATGATTGAGATTTTTATCATGAGCTATAATGCAAAAATGCTCTGTAGTCATATGGATGATTACGTTTCGCACAAAAAAATGAGAGGTTCTATCTACTTTGTTCGTCCATAAAACATCATGTCACCTGGTTAAGGTTTGTCTCAGGATTAAGGGTTTATAATTAGGATTTAGAGTCAGTGTCAGTTAGGCTGTTATATGCAATGCACATAGGCATAGACCTTTAGGTCAAAGGCTCTGGGTGTGGCCCCCTAAGAAAACCACCTGCTTTGATCTGGGCACTCGGGCAGTATCATAGCCCTCACATATATCAATGATAACTGCTACTGGCCTCATTGTTATTGTGTAGCGCATATGTTTTTAGTGACCCATTGTACCAATGTTTATGTGTTCAAATAAATAAGTTGATAGGAAACCGTGGACTTAGGTTTCATGCTATTCAGTACTTGTTAGCAAGGTGTACCTGTTATCCTAAGGGAACTAAGAATAACCTGGCACATGACATTAATCGCTACTCAGTGACCAACCTATTGCAAATCCATGTCAGTCTTATAGGAGGTACGTCTAGGCTCGGATAGCTCAGTGGTAACGTCTATGAATGTGAAGTTGGGCTACACAAAGTAGAAACTGTCAGGGAGCACCTGTTCCCTTGATATTACAGGTACACCTTACTGACGAGTGTCAAATAGCATGAAACATTAGTTAATGTTTTCCTATCGACTACCTCCAACCACCATCTTATCGTGCGACATATTTGTTGGGATCAGATGAATGATTAAAAATGCATTGTTTACACCAACTTGGTGTTCCGTATCAGTTGAATGAGCCAGTGCGAAACTTTTAACTGATTTTAGTAGTCTCTTACTTAACGAGACAGTGCGATGGACCTGGATACTTGTGGGTTCGATGTAACAGACTTTTTAGGGGTAGTTGAATTGGTAAATGCACATAGTTGAAGCGAAGAACGGTTGGGATTTTCGGTATCGATTTCATTATTATTGTTAAACGCGTAGAGCTATGATGAAAAACCATTTGTAACAAAATATTTCTTCCCTTTATTCGTCTTATTTAAGTAATTAATGTGCTATAGGGTTGTTATATTTGATAAATATCAACTTTAATGTTAGAAAGTAATCAATATTTTACCCATCTACCTACTTATTTTTTTATTAAAGGCTGAAAATCTTTTACTGCGTCAACCCTATCCGTCTACTGATGTATTTTTCACAGATTTCGGTTTAGCGACCATATTAACTGAAGGTAAACAACATCGAGAGCTTGCAGGAACTCCTGATTATGTTGGTAAGTGCATTTGTATTTTGTCCTCAATCTTTCAAAATTAATATTGATTTTTTTGTGAGCTTTATGTGAACACTTCACTTGTTAGATTGATAGTGAAATAACGGAGAGGATATACTCATAAGTTTAACATTTTTAGTGCTGTTGTGTTCTTGTAGCTGTATTGGTTAATCGTTCAACTTTCATTGCTCTTCTGAGCAACATAAGTAGCGCCTACTTCTTGTAGAAGATCATCAATAACAAATTTGTTTTTTATCCTTATGTCATATCAGTACTATATTGACTCATGATTTAAGTATGATGTACGTTACTCACAACACTACTTGTAAGCAGTGTGTAGTAGAACGCGACTTTGGAGCTGTCAGTCATCAGACGGAAAAAAGAAGAGGATCACAACGTCAAAAACACGGTTTAAGCAGAATACTTGAAGACCTGACGAGAAGACAGTTCACATTGCAGAACACACCGGAAGATGCAAATAGATGACCAAAAGCTATCTATATTTACTATGCAAACACTTTGTAATCTCTTGCAGTTAATGTTCATTCATTTTGCTAATTGTGTTGTTCTACATATGTATATATATTTTTCTGTCGAAATTTCTACGACTTTATCATTTCAGGTTAGTCTTTATAAACATTAACTAAATATTTTTCTTAATATGAATTGATTTATGTATTTAACCATTATAATACTCACATTATATTGAAAGTGTTTATATTAATGTATTATCGAAGTATTTCAGTTTTTCCCATTTTCTATATCGCACTTATAACATTTATCAAAAGTAAATTTTGAAATTATTTTTAACTAGTAATCTAATATGAGACATTAAAGATGAAGAATGTTGTGCTTGTAAAATCTCAGCAAAAGAATTTGAAGTAAATTTACTTCAAAATTCTTTCGCTGAGATTTTACATGTACAACATTCTTTCTCTTTAATGTCTCACATTAACTTGGCGCCAAAGTATTGTGAAACTATTCGTTCAAATTTAGACGAACGTTCTTATTTAGTAATCTAATGGTTTACATTCAAAGTTGGTATTAGTTTTCAATAAGTTATTGTAATACAATAAGACCAAAATCATTATGTTAATTTGCTTCAATATATATATATATATATATATATATATATATATATATATATATACTATTTAAACAGTGGACAAATGCTATACAATATATTATTGACTTGTAAAGCTGATTACTGCTTATCGATCATTTACACTTTCTTTTTTCACCACAATTTCGATATGCATCATATATTTTAGTGCATTGAGATGCAGCTTTACTTATCCTACATTCAATATTCTGTACAGTATGTGTATTGTAATTAGTATCATTGCATTGTTTAACGTTTGAATATCTGAAAACTAACGAACTGAATACTGTAACTGGAAGTTGAATTTGCAATATGTATAAATTCCGTTTTTTTAGAATATTAAAGTATAATTATGAATGAGATTTCTTTCATTACTCAGTGATTCTTATCATCATCACCATCAATGTTTATATTGAAATATATGTATTCGTAAGAACTTTCAATGAAATGTGGGCAAACTATAATATAGGGCACAAGCGTAGAATGACGTTAAAGTTATCCTTTAATTTTGATATTAAATGTTAACCAATGAACAGATTTACTTACTTACTTCTGTTATTTCTCGTAGAGGAGCATAGGCCACCAACCAGAGAGTCTGTGTAAATCAAATTATTTTACTACAGAAGTAAATAAACCTGTTAAAATTTAATTGTTTTAAAAAGTGTTTATTATCAGTTTTCCGATTAGTTAATACTTCTAAGAAAAAAACACAATTAAATTATGATACATATATGTGTATATCAAGTTTGTTTCTCAGCTGATACTTTGTCCAGTAGTTAGATTGATTGAACTTTATAACTTGTAAAGTGTAATTGTTATCAGCATAGAATTCAAAAAGTAAAATAAACAATTTCTATGAAATAGTCAATTCTACCTCTCTAAACTAATTACACCACATGAATATCTATCTATCTATATTTTTCTTCATGCTATGTTAGTAGAATTTCGAATTCTTTTTTTAGTTACGAAATCAAAACCCAGTCTATTTATTATGGGATATATACATATACATAAATGTTATACAATGATAAGTGTATTTGGTAACTTGTGACCTCGGTAAACAGTTGAAAGAATAACTGTTTGAAATCATGAGTCAATTGAAGCTAGACCACCATAGAAAACCTGGAAGCACTGGATGGATGTTTCGTCCTAGTATGGGACTCCTCAGCAGTGCGCATCCATGATCCCGCCCCCCGCGATCTAGTGAGAAGTTGTTGCCAGTGGAGTTCGACCAGGTCTGTTGAGAGATAGGAACTCACTGAAAACAATGGTGTACGGTGGCGCAACTTTGTGGACTGGTTGAAGTTGGACATTAACACTGTTGGATGCCGGCTCAGTGGTCTAGTTGGTTAAGCGCCTGGCGCGAGACTGATTGGGTTCGAATCTTGCGGGGGGCTGGATCGTGGATGCGCACTGCTGAGGAGTTCCATACTAGGAAGAAACGGCCTTCCAGTGCTTCCAGGTTTTCCATGGTGGTCTAGTTTCAATTGATTTCAACCATTGAAATTTCTAAAAATCTTCACAAAACCCATTCTGAAAGAATAACTAACAAGAAATTTAAAACTATGTAAATTTAGGACTCGTCAGTTGGATGTACCTACATCCCAGTAGTTGATGTTCAATCCGGAACTCGAACCCATTACCATTCGCTTCAAATACCATCACATTATTCACTTAACTACTGAGTTCAGAAAGCTATTAGCTTGTGCAATGGGATGAAGTTTTAATTCATTTTTGTATTGATTGTTTGAGTTATCCCATTGATGTTTAGGACTGCAATTGATCAGTCTCATCTAAATTTTACATACTAAATGAAATACAAAGTAATAAATTAAACAAGATAATAATAGGCATTCATCTTTTCTAATTGTCCAATATTTCTGTTTCTATGAAGTTTGAATTATAGTGAATTGAAATTTTTAAAAGCATAATAACATATATTTTAAATGTTATAAGCTTGATTACTTCAGTAACATCAGTGGCATTCCTCAAGTTCTCTTGATATTATTAATACTTTTTTAAACGATATTCGTAAAAGACTGTAGAATGTTCTTCCACATAAGGTATACGTTTACAATATTCAGCCTATTCAATCTATTTAAACCCTTGCTATCCTATACAAATATGCCTTCACAATATAACTTCCAATGAAACTCTTTCGTGTAAGTAATTTAAACCCATTATGTAATTATGATTTTAAATATCACGGGTTGTAAGCAACTGACGACAACCAACGAAATCAAAATGAGTTCATGCTATTGTGCTAGAATGTTTGTTCTTGTTCTTTTCAAAGCGGTAAAGGGAACTATGTGTGAGGAACTAGTATCTTAGATTCCACTGTTAACTACAATTCATCTTTTCTAACACAGAAAGAACTTTTCATAGATTGAAATCATGAGTCAGTTGAAGCTAGACCACCATTGAAAACCTGGAAGCACTGGACGGCCGTCTCGTCCTAGTATGGGACTCCTCAGCAGTGCACATCCACGATCCCGCACCACGCGGGGCTCGAACCCAGGACCTACTGGCTTCGCGCGCCAGCACTTAACCACTAGACCACTGAGCCGGCATCCAACGGTGTTAATGTCTAACTTCAACCAATCCACGAAGTTGCGCCACCGTATACCATTGTCTTCAGTGAGCTGATATCTCACAACAGACCTGGTTGTACTCCACTGGTAACGGCTTCCCACTAGAACTCCAGGAGTATCTCTTGAAGTCAGTCACAGAAGGAACTGTTTGAAATCATTTTCCTTCTTATCTTTTCGTTCTAAGTTTTCTTTTTCTTTCTGTCAAATAGGTCATCGTTTCTTTTATGATTTTTACCCTTGTCAATTATCATGTGACAAAATCGGCAATCAGAATACCTGCTTATATGACCTTAAGGCGAGGAAGTAGGTTTTTTCATTTGATTAAAGAACACGCTTATATACGAATTATTAAGAGAATATTAAGCATAATGGTATGTTTTGAATAGTTGCGGTTCTGTAGGTCACTCACTCTACAATGGAATTAAAGCCTCATCATATCAAAAAGTATTCAACCAAGACTTATCTTGGAAGTCTGATCAGCTCTAATGGATTAGTGTTTGACGAAATCTCGGCACGGATTCAGAAAGCTCGTTTGGCTTTTGCGAAATTACGTTACCTATGGCGAAGATGAGATATCCGTCTATCAATTAAGGAACGAGTATACTGCGCCGCAGTTCGTTCTGTTCTGCTTTACGGCTGCGAAACGTGGCTATTAAGAATAGAAGATACCTGTGAGATACTAGTATTTGATGACAGATATCTTAGAAATATTGCTTTTGTCTGCTGATATGACCGGGTAAGTAATAGTGATGTGAGACGTAGAGTATTATTGAATGATGGTAAATCAATTGATGAGGTTGTGAATCTTCATCGAGTGAGATGGTTGGGCTACGTGTTACGTATGCCTGAACAGCGATTACCACGACATGCAATGCTAACCGGTGTTGGGGATGGTTGGGAGAAGGTTAGGGGCGGCTAAACCAAAACGTGGTATCAGTGCATGAAGTCACTAACTTCTGGTGTGAGTCGTGTTGGTAGATGCAGACTACTTGGTTGGTGTCCGCGTGACTATCGTAACCAATGATTGTAGACTGTGTGTGACATGGCTTAGAATCGATCACAATGGCGTTGGTGTATACACTCTTTGTCGTCCCTTAAACTGTGAGATTAGAATCACATTATACCTTTGTTTCTGCGATCTAATCTTTTCTCTTTATATGCCATACTTATTTTATATATTACCACCACTGAAGTAAGTACTATGAGTTTGATGTTCGTCTTGTTTTGCTAATGAGGTGTGGCAACTTGGATGGATACATATGTGTGCCTGATCTCACGTTGTAGCTGGCTTACTGATTGACTGATCAGCC